CCCCTCATGAATCTTCATGCTCAGTTTGAGGAATGGTTGCCAATCCAAATGCAAATACCTGCCTTTCAAGACTTCATGAAACTTTGACGACCCTGACACATTAGGGGAAATGGACCATTAAATACCTCAAGTTCCTGTACTGTGTACTGCAGCGCTGGGAGGGACTCAACCTAAAGCTACTACGATGGGGACACGTAGTCCTCAGAGGCTGCATTCTGACATATTTATTAAACTAAAGTAATATATTTCTTTATCGTATCTATTTTTGCATCTGTTTGTTTAAATGTTGTTTTTATACTGTTTAATAAATCTCATATGACTTTTTTACAAAGTGGAACATTTTCTCCTTCTTTAATATCTTATGTTTGAAATAATTTTTCATGAGCAGGAAATAATCTACAATGACTTGCAAATCATTCTAGGACACACACTCAGCTTTTTATGATTGATTTCACAACTGATTGTCTTTCAATAAACCAACACTTTTGGTTAATGGTTGCCAGGTATATTGAGGCAGCTAGTGCATATAACGTATGTTATAACTATAACATAGTGGCATGTCCAGGTTATAGACACTATTGTAATTTAGTGAAAAATACAAAAGTAAATCCATAAGATCATTGTCTCCCAACACTGATTTTAAACTCTATCCGTAAATATAAAATACGTGTTCATTTATAAGGCCAATAAGAGGAATAGTTCAGGGAAACTACTCAACAACCAAGAGGTTAGAAATTATAAAAATAAAAGACAATCAACATTTCCTAAAGCTAAACTTGACTTTCATATTGCTTATTTTTTCAGTCCAAAACCAAGACTTTTAATTTGTAATAATATTTGTGATACTAATACAACCAGAAACATTCACATAGTAATTGAAAGTGTGTTTTTAGAACACCTTTCATTTATTAAAAAAAAAAAGAAACATTTTCTGTTGATGGACTTGTGATTTCCAAAATACTTATATATTTATGTATTAAAATGTAAACACTCAAAAGAGCAACACGAGGAACACCATTGCAAAAGATGGATCTAATGGCATGTGATATCTGTGTGCACATCCTTCCCAGCTTTGTTCCATGCAATCGTATATTTGTATAATTATTTTTGCCCACATAAGAAGCATGATGTCATGGTGTTGGCCATTGTCTGGGCCACACTCCCTCTCTATGAACCCATCTGAGAGCAGGCCAGCAGCAGGAGGCCTAAAGAATGAGCTGAGGAGCCCTCCCTCTAAGGCCACAATAGGAGCAGCTGCAAGGCGTTTGGGAAAAGTGTGACAACTAAAGAGCATTCAGGGATTATTCAAGTACCGGCCTGGTGTCCCCTGCCTCCCACACCAATGGAGGTGGAGACAGAGACGCCAGTGAAAGGGATAGGAATATGTTTAGGTTGCAAATTAGCCAAAACATTGGCTTTGACCCTTGGTGGCGTGTGAGAAAAAGTTGAAAAACTGTCCTCCAGAAGTGAGGATGATGATACCCGTAAGGCAGGGATGTCCAAACTACGACCCGGGGGCCAAATGCGGCCCACGGGCCATTTTGATTCGGCCCTCAGAAAATTCTAAAAGTATAATGAAATATGGCCCACAAATTAAACTTGTGCTTGTCTTACATTGTACTTCTCAAATATATATGTAAACATATATTACACAGTAGGATTCATGAGTTAATAAGCCAAATGGTTCAAATGCATTCAGTCAATTCAAGTTGAAAACTATTTCTAACAAATCTAAGTTGATAAGAAAAAAGCCTAATAACTAATTAACATAACAAGTTTGAAATATACTACCCTTCATATTTCCTCTTATTATAAGCAATCTGAGGCTTCTGTTGTAAGGAATGAGCTGCTAACAAAATAAATGAAACCCTATAAAGAGATGGGATGTAGCCTGTTTGTTTTCATAAAGCATATTCAAGTTACAAGCATAATTTACCTACATTTGATTGATTTTGCTGACTTATAACTTAACTTATGAGGCAATATACCTCACCTCTAGTGAGTGGCCCAACCCTTCGTATATTTTTATGTATGTGGCCCTTGGTGAAAAAAGTTTGGACAACCCTGCCGTAAGGCATTCACTGCCAGACATAATTAATGTATATAAGATTTAGAAGAAGAAGAAGAATTTAATATAACTTTAACTTGAAATACATGGGTTCTGATAAATGACAAAAATGTATTCTTAAAACTTTTAACTTCTTATCTCACTGTTGTAAATGTTTGTTTTTGAGCAGGGAAACATCACCAGTGACTCTGTGATGAAAGGCTCATTCATGACCTCAACAGCCCCCTCAGACAAGCTGTGGTTTGGGTGACATATGTGCGACAGCCCCCCTTACCAGACCCCCACCTTTGTATCTTTAGACTTCCTGTTGTCAGCAGGGAGTTTGGCAGCAGTGTGTGTGTTTGTGTCTGTGTGAGTGTGAAAGTCGTTACGCATCTTTTATGGTGCGATGAGGGAGCTTTGGAGGAAGAAGGCCCTCAGTTAGTTGACAGGTGAGGGGCATTAAAGCATTGTGTGTGTGAGAGATAATCTTGATGTGGTGTGAGACAATGTCAAGGTGTAAGCTCACAATTTCAGTTGATATCAGTCAGACAGAATTTACCATAATGTCATTTTCACTTTGTTGTCAATTGGCTGTTCCATTTAGCAACTGAGCTCTGTCTCAACTGGAAAGTCATTTTAATTAAAACAATGGTGATATAATGTATCAGACACTGCTGCCATGACAGAAGGAAACATGATCTCACCCTTCCCCTTTTGCATTACTCAGTTTGGATCAAATATGTGGAAGTTGATGTAAGTTTCACAACTTTTTTAACATCAAATGTATGACACATACCTACTTCTTCAACAAATAACAATGACATTAGCATTGAATTTCGTAACATGTACCGAAAAAGTTTATTTGAAACGTTGACTAAATGGAATCAAAGGTACCATTTTACAATAAGACTACCCTTATAAAGTATTCATAAAGGGTTTATAATTAGGTTATTAATTAGGTTGTAAACACTTTATTAATCATTAAGAACCATTTATAAACCAGTTCTAACATAGTTTTCAACACAGGCTCACTATTTGGCAAGATGACAAAGCCTTATATTGGTTACCTAGCGTACTTCGTGGTATCTGTTGCTCACTGAGTTGATTATCCCCCCTTCCATCTTGATGTTTCTTGGCATCTCTTTATGACCATTTATTTACGAGTTATTAACATTCATAGTTGCCAAAAGGGAGCCTTGTTGTAAAGTGTAAAACATATTCCCATTTATTAATGAGTTACTACCATTTATAATAAGGCTTAGCAGTACAGATAAATGTGGGCTCACTATTTGGCAAGTAACCGGTCACAGTTGCCCTGTTTATCTCATGTCTTATAAAAACGTATTAATGATTTATAAAGTGTTCACAACCTAATTAATAAATGAATTACAAACTATTCGTAAACCCTTTATAAGGGTAGTCTTATTGTAAAGTGCTACCGAATCAAATGATATTTGAAAGTTTGCTCCGAGCTCGCTCACAATGAAGAAAAAGGAGAACATGAGCTCATCATCATAACCATTACAAAACAATAAGACATGTCTTGTAAAAACAATATGACACCTCAGTCTAAAGTTCTTTGACCTTAAAAGATACTTTAACATGTTCACATTATAGCTGTCACTGATATAAAGGAAGTTGTATTGGGTGTAGTAGAATGTTACATCTCTTGCCAGTGTCTCAACACTATATTATGTGTTCATATGCGCACTATTAGGCAATTCTGTACCTTGCTTTTTGCAATATAATTATGGTCTCCGCAAAGGAGGTAATGGTTTTTGTATTTTTCAGCAAGATTTCAGTTTGTTATTGCGTTTAATTCACTTTGTGATAACAATTGTTATAATTGTGGCCAGTATATTTACAGTTTGAACCACAGATGGCTGCGTTTGATCACAAAGCAATTGTCTAACATAAAGAAATGGGAAACACAAGTCACCATTGTTCATGTTGTTTTAAAACATTAACAAAAATACCCAAAATGTAATAGAACCATTAGCACTAACAAATAAGGCCCTGACCATGGCAGTGACATATTTTGAAGAGAATATGACATCTCTCTATAAAATCCATGTTATATCACTAAAATGTTGCTCAGTTTTGGTATTTTTTATAACTCAGATCATATTCTCCTGACAGAAAGGAACTATGAAATGCATATGCAGTTTTGAGAAAGAGTTGGCAGCCATCGTGGGACACCCTTACGTAGTAAATAAGAACAACACCTCTGAGAAGCTTAAGCATACCAAATTCATTGGTACATTACACTTTCTTATCACAAGCAGGAGGAATGTATTGGGACGCCTGTGTTGTTTTGTCTCTACTGAATGTGTAAGTAGCATTAGTAAAGAGTTTGCTAATCTGTTAAGTCGATATAGTACATCAAGACTAATTGCAATGAGTTTTTATGGAGTCCAACTCTTGATAACTTCTGGGTCCAATTTGCAATAAAAATGTATCAAATAACTTAGTTGTCCTCACTCGAAGACGCACTTAGGAACATGACACGGACAAGACTAAGCAACAAAGACCATAACCTTTCCCACCAAATATAACTTGACTTCCTGTGTGAGAAGGGCTTAAGTGTTAACATGATTGCCGCTCTGGAACTCTAGGATGCTGGGTAATTACACCTCTCAGACTTCATCGTACCTTGAAACTGGATTAAGTCTCACACACTCACACATCCATTCTCACAAACACACACAATATCCTGAGTGAGAAGATTAGGTCCACACATTGATGTCATGGCAGAAGACTTACCTGCAGTAAATCTGTAAGAGGATTATGATTGGGACCGTGGGGCCTCTATTATAACATTTTGTGGCATTAGAATTTGCACTTTCTTGTTCACACTTTTATATCAATGCAGAGTGCAGAAACACAAATATAAAGTCTGTTTTGCCAGATGAAAAATCTTTTGTTGGCTTCTTTGTAAACAAGGTATACGTTGATGTTTCCCAAAAAGAAAGCCCCAACCTGCTTTAAAAAACGTGTAAAGACTACAATAACCATCCATGTTGCAGGTACGATGTTTAAAGGGTAATACAGATAACTTAC